ATTTTATTCATTTTAGTCCTTTTTATTAAAATAATATATTTAGGATAAATGACAGATTCAATCCCTTAATTTTAATAAATAATTTTTTAATCCCTAGTTCATATTTTTAATTTATTCTATTATAAAATTTGATTTTTAAATAGTTTTAAATTAGTCACTAAATTAATAAAATACGAAAATAACATGTTTAAACCCTATAATTTTGATTAATTATGAATTAGGTTTTTTTAATTTTAATTTTTACTATAATTTAGTCACTAATTTTAAATGTTTTCATTTATTTTACCACTTTTAAATATATTGTTCTAATTGTATTTTTATTGTTTTAATTGTTTATATATTTAAATAATTTTACTATTATATAGTCATAAATATATATAATGAATAATAATAATATTTTTTTTAATAAATTATTTTAATATTATTTTTTTTATATATATCGAAGAAAAGGATAGTCTTAATACAACTGGATGTCCTATTCTGATATTTTAAAAAATTAAAAATTAAACAATATTATTTAAATTAATATTTATCAATATCAAAGAAAAGAGCTGTCTTAAGGCACCTAGAAGTTCTTTTCGGATATTTTTAAATAAATAAATTTTTTTATATATAATTTTGAAATAATAGAATTATAAATTAAATATATTTCTGAATTTTAAATTTTAATAATAGAGACAATTTATAATTAAAAAGTACCAATTTTGGGCGTTGTAGGGGTGCTAATCCTTCCCTAAACGTAACCGACCACGAATCTTTTTTTTATTATTAAAAAGAACGAATTTTTGGTTATAAAACGCAGATCAGTTCATCTTTTAAATATGGTTTTCTTAAAAACTCTTTTAAAAGATAATTTTTAGGTATTCGACCTACCTGATCCAAAAGGTCGATGGCGACTCACAAATTATTTTCAAAATTAGTTATTAACATTAATTTCCCCGTCAAATTTTAATATTTCGTTCCCGGACGAAAACCGGTTACGACAGTTGTAATAGGAAAACATATAATTTTGAGACGATAAACACACTAAAGCAAAGCGTGTCCATGTTAATGAATTAAGAATCTCTATAAAGATAGAAGATAAACAGACGCACATCAGCCTTCAACCCATACCCTTTTCTGATAAGGCAAAGCTGAAGGAGGGCATCATATTTTTCTACCTTTTCCATTTCCCACGTTGGTCGTTTGACCTTCCATTTTTTAAATATATTTTTAATGAGGGGGAGTAATGGGATTGTTTAGAGATTAAATTTGGAACTGATCTTATATAGATATTTAATGGGGATTTTTTCTTCTAATTTTTTATATAATGTTTAACCCATTAAGTGTCGATCGGTGATTAAAGAAAATATTATTTTCTCTAGAAGTTTTGGATTTTAGCAGTTGCGTAGGACGTGTGCATGTTGTCAATGGTTCAAAAATATTACGAACATATACTACTTTATAATTATCTTAAACTATTCAAAAAATAAAAATAGTAAAATAAAATGAAAGATATTTTATTTTAAAATTTGTACTTAACCGGACACGAACTATATATATATATATATATATATATAATTTATTAAATAAATAAAGATCTAATTGAAAAAAATAAAATAGAGAAATATATTATTGTAATTATCCATAAATATATAAAAAGACAATTATAATATTATGTCGGGTCGATTTTTTCATCCTAAACACTAATCCAATCCGATCCGATCCCACTCTAAAAAAATCAGACTAAAATCCTAATTTTCAAAATAAAAACCAACCCAACCGAGCCATATCGGAACTCATCACATCCGGATAAAATGATCATCCCTTAATATGTCACTTATTTTACTTTAAAATTAACTTTTTTAATACAAATATTACGTGACAAGATTTATCATAATTCAGAGGTCATGGCTACCATTATCCCTACTTTGTAATCAATTTATTACATCAAACAGATTCAAGTAGAACTTTTCCCCAAAAGAAAGTCCTTTTGCTAGAAAAATCATCATAATGATAAACCATGAAACTAAAACTTTATCAATGAACGATGGATTCAAGAAAAGAAAAGAAAATTTGCAGAAAAAGGTAGACGAAGATGTCTACGATTTTAAAAGGAAAAAAATCTTATCTACACGGCATACCGCACATCCATGGAGATGGTGACGGAACCAAGTGAAATATATACCAACTCTGCTTATATATTTGATACACACTTAATGATAAGTTTCATCAAGTTATCATCCATCGTATGTTAACGAACATTTTTAATTTGATCGAAGAACATGCTTTGTTCTTGCAAGATACAGTTTTCCAGAAGAGATAAATGAGGCACATTCGCCTTGGTTGCATCGGAGATTAGATTAGATTAAGATTGGATTAGACATGCAAGTTGATGATTAAGTGCTTAAGGCATTATTATAAGAAAGCTGCTGTCTTTCTTACGTTTTTTCGCCATTAGTGCACAAGTTGGGATTTAAATAGGATGCTGCTGTAATCTGAGGTTAGTCGTTATGTCATTACAACTTTTGTTAATATTCACAATTATGATGGAGAAAATGGTTTTCAAAGAAGTATCTTGTGAAATGAAAGTTAAATTAATCGAAACCTTTATAATTATTGAATATTATTCCATTCAAACCCTAATTACCTACCCCTTAATTATGGTCAAATAACATAATTATAAGACTTGGTAGTTTGATAAGAATAGAAAATATTAGTGGTTGGGGAATGAGGAAGTGTGGGGTATTAAATTTATTTATCAAATGAGTTAAATTTGTATACTTATGGAGCTTAACTCAACAAATAATTACAACTGAATCATAAACTTTAATTTAATTTCTCGATATTTTGATATATGTATATATAAGAGATGAAGAGCAGACAATTAGATTCCCCGCTACGAAAACACTCGTTCTTCATCGTCCTCTGCCATTTGCTATAGCAAGAAGCCTTGTTTTGGCTACTCTTCTTCTTCCTTTGAACACCCTTCAACTGCATTGCACCACTTTCAAAATCTGCTTTTCTTAATCTAAGTTCCTTTCTCTGTCACAGAGTTTCATTTTAGATAAGTAATTTAAAACAACAACAACATAGGTCCGCAATGGCTCGGTTCTCTTGTTATCACCATTCTTTTACCATGTTCTTGACCTTCTTTCTTGTGTTGTTTCTACAAGGTAATGGGGATATATGCTTTTCTGAATCTGGGTTGTTTGCATTTCGTAACGTTTTCTGAATCTTGTTTCTCTGTTTTCCTCTGATTAATTTTTCAGGTTCTACGGCTGCAACTTTCACATTCATCAATAGATGCCATCACACAATATGGCCTGGAATTCTAGCTAATCCAGGAAGTCCAAAACTAGAAAGTACAGGCTTTGAGCTCACAAAAGGCAGCTCTCGTTCTTTCGAAGCTCCTTCAGGCTGGTCCGGTCGCTTCTGGGGCAGAACAGGCTGCGATTTCGGTGACTCCGGTCACGGATCATGCATTACGGATGACTGCGGCTCTGGCCAAGTTGAATGCAATGGAGCAGGGGCCACCCTGCCAGCCACCTTTGCTTGTGCAAGGAAGTGGAGGTTCAGGAGACTGTGCCACTACTGGCTGCGTGACGAATTTGAACAAAAAGTGCCCATCTGAGCTGAGAATCAACGGTGGCAGAGCGTGTCAGAGAGCCTGTAACGCCTTTGGGAACCCAGAGTACTGCTGTAAAGATGCCTACAATAGTCCAGCTGCTTGTAAACCATCCATGTATTCGGAAGTGTTCAAGGCAGCTTGCCCCAAATCCTATAGCTATGCATTTGATGATGCCAGTAGCACTTTCACATGCACCGGGACTGACTATACAATCACATTCTGTCCCAGTGGTCCAAGGTAAATTTCTAAAACAATAACTTGCTTGTTTGCATAATCTGATAATTACACATAAATATCTATGTGGCATTTTGATTGATGCAGTTTGAAAACTTCGAAAAATATCGGTCCGAATGCAACCGGAACCACAGTCGAATCCGAGTTGGATCATGACTCCGTGAAGGCAGCTGAAGAGGCCAGTAATTGGCTAGCAAATTTGGCCACCGGAGACTAGGACACAATACAACCATCTGCCGGAATCCAATTTGGTTTTGCTGTAACTATTCTTCTTTTCCTTTTCTCTCTTCTTGTAGGACAAAATCCAGATTGTAAAGTTTAGAGCTATTTATATGTAAACAATTTCATTTGAGAAACAGAATCCTTTCCTTTTTCTGCTGGATTTGGATTGAATATCTATGGTTCACACCTTGTGAACTAAAGTGAACGATTCAAGAAAGTAAAAGAAAAAACATATATTTTTGCGCCTTTAAAGGTGCATGATTACCTTTCCTTTGAACGAGATGAGCTTAAAATGGGAAAAAAAGTGTACGCTTTGAACGCCATTTTGGTCATTTTAAATGAACCACCACCAAAGATCACATCCTCTGTGTCTGCCATTGCCGTGCATCAATGGTATTGTCTTTTTTGAGTATTCTTTTTTCTTAGTTCCTCAAAGCTTTGTCATTAGTGGCTAAATTGGTACTTGCCATGGCAATGAGGCTATGCTAAGTTTCTTGCAAGTTGGCAGGACCAAAAGGATTAACGAATACTCAAAAAAGACAATAATGACGTGGGAATGAGGCCCTGCATTACGGGAAGAACCTGCAAAGGATTAAAGAAAGAAAAGGCAAGCATTAAAAAGGAATGTACAAGCTAATCAACCATCAATCGAGCTGAAAGAATAAAAACAAAGAATGGTGATGTGGAAGAGCTGTGGTAGTATTATCAAGATGTCCAATCATAATATATTATGCATCAGCGTTTGGTTAGACTTGAGTGTCCCAGATAACGTGCCGAATTGTTGTTGGCTGTTGCTTAGTAGGAGTTAATAATAGTTAATGCAGCTCGTTGTCTCCATTTCCTACATAATTGGGCAAAAGTGGTGAGCCAATCCAAGGATATATGAGAATGAGCAAATCCCATCCCATATTTTCTATCTTCACCAAGGAAACAGCCGCCGGATCTGAGAAAAAACAACTAAGGCAAAACATATAAAGAGTCTCTATGGGTTCTCTGGATAAAAGGTGATGTTTCTACTTGAAAGAAGTGCAAAATTTTGATATGGGTGTTTCTTTGGTTGTCTTCTTCTCTTGCTGTTTCTTTTATTTTGCTTCTTTCATATCTAAGGTCAGGATCACAAGTTGTTTCCCTTGATGTTGTTGAAACAAAACACTTGATTCAGTCTGGTTATGTTTATATTGATGTCAGGTAACATAACAAGATTCAGTTTGGTTCTTTGTTCCTTAACATGTTAGCTTCTTCCCCTTTTAAATTCATGTTTGAGATTCATTTCCATTTAACAACAGGACAGTGGAAGAATACAAGAAGGGACACGTGGAAGCAGAGAAGATCCTTAATATCCCATACATGTTCAACACACCTGAAGGTCTTTAAGCTGTTTTTCATCCTTTAGATTCTGTTGTGTATACAGTATTAATCTGTTCTTGGATTCCTACTGCAGGTAGGGTGAAGAATCCTGAATTCTTGAAGGAGGTTTCATCTTTTTGCAAGGAGAACGATCCTCTCATATTGGTAACTTGGAAGTTGGAATTCATCTTTTTGCCTTTTCTCTAAATAAATGATGTGGGAGTTGGAGGTCTGCTAAGTGCTTTCCTTTTTCTCACAGGGCTGCCAAAGTGGGGTGAGATCCCTTCATGCAACAGCTGATCTTCTTAAAAGTGTGAGTTTATTCAATTCCAACTCCGAGACACATCTTTCCCGTAATTGCAGCTTAAAAATAAAAGGAAGCGATTGCAGGTGTAGAGATTAGAGGTTTTGGACCGGTAGTAATTAACGATACTCGGCGATGTTGCAGGGCTTTAAGAATGTGACCAACATGGGAGGAGGTTATCTTGCTTGGACGGAGAAAGGGTTTCCTATAAACCTATGAAGGTGCAGGAGCCTGCAATATTAGAGGACAAGCCAAAAGAGCTGTGAATGGTGATGGATTGTTGGTCATTCTGATGGTTTTATTATGCTTTTTACTCTTATTGGCTATATAAATATAATCATATATTTATTTTCCAGATTATTTTTAATTTTGAGTAGAGAAAAAATAATGTGAAAAAGAAGCGTCAAGATACATCCAATTGTAAAAAGAAGATGATTTTAATAGCATAATAAATGATAATATTCGTGTCTTTATTTTTTAGTTTCAAATGTTTAAAATTATTTGGTCAACGTTTCAAATTTACTTTAGGATATTAAAAAAGCATTATCGACGACAGTCGTGGCTGAACAAGATATAATCATCTCTTTTAGTGAGATTTTCTACTATTTCAATAATACTTACATATTTTTTCTGAGCTCTTCACCTCTTTTAGAGGAAAATATTGATCAATGATCGTCTTTACATCAAATACGATTCTATGTTCAAATTAAAATAAATAAACGACCGACTAATACGATTAGTTTATGTCATCAATATTTAATTAAATTTATAAACTCGAACAACTAGACATGATACTACAATCCTACATTCTCTTATAATATTATAAAATTTGTATTATTGCTCAACCACCCAACCAATTATCCTATAGTTTTGCCATGCTTCAACTCGAGCTCCACCATACTTCATTTATTTGCATTATAGGTGGTTGTTTAAACCACAAATTATTTATGTTATCATTTTTAATTAAAATAAATTATACAATATTATAAATGGAAAAATTTTACAACACTTGTCGAGCGTGGATGAGAACCGTTAATGATGAGCATCATTAAATTAATTTATAAAACGTTAAAGTATTAAGCGTATAATTATAAATTAGTTTAAAAATCTAAATGTAATTTAATTAAAATATAATATTTATAAAACATTAGTTTTTAGGGTAAACTATACTATTGATCACCTAACTATTTACCCATTTTGCTTTAACCACCGATTTTTTAATTTTTTCAATCAAGTCACCTAACTATTTAAATATTGTCAACCAACCACCTACCGTTAAATATTAACAGAGGAGATGACGTGGCATTTAATAAAATTTATATAATTACACATTTAGTCCTCATTACTTATACATTCTTTTAATTTGGTCATAACTTATAATTAATTCAATAAATTTAATCCTCAATCAGATGGTGACATGTGTCACTATGTGATTGGATTTTTTTTCTTAATATTTTAATTTAATTTATTTTCCATTCAATCAAATGGTGCCACATGTCACCAATTGAATGAATAGAAAATAAATTGAATCAATAATCGATGCTAGTGGGGTTTGAATCCAAGAGAGAAAGCAAACGCCCCAACCATTAGGTTGCACCATTCAAATGACAAACTTATCACAATATAATATATATAGTTAATGACAATAAAAAAAGGAAAATAACCTAATAAGAACCCCAACATAGAATAATTGAATAATACAATAATATGATATATATATATATATATATATACACACAAATATTATAACTGATTAATATGTGAATGTATTTTATTTATATTTTATATCATTTTAATGAAAAAATAAAAAATAATTTTAATACATTATAATTGAAATATAACGAAGAGCTCCGTTGACTTAAATTTCCTGATAGTTAATGGCTTATCGTAGTAAGCATTTTCACTTATGCATTGACTTGTTTATATCTCGGTTAGAGTAAGAATTTTATATTTTATTATTTATTCATTATATATTTGAAGAAAATTTTAGGGGAAACTTTATTTTATTGAATTAGTCTATTTTAATATAGAGTTATTAAATAAGATTAGAATCTGATTGATGTTATAATATTTTAAAATATAAGATATGATATATTTCAGTTCAATAAAATTAGAATAATGAAGACAATTTATTAATTTAAAATATGTAAAATGATACATAATTATTATAACATATTAAATTTATTTTTATTTTAATATTTGCATTAAATGTGATTTAAAATATAAATAAAACGTATTCATTTATTAATCAATTATAATATTTGTTTATATATATATATATATATATTATATTTTGATACTATTTAATTATTTCATGTTTAAATCCTTATAAGGTCATTTATTACCATTAACTATATTATAAATTATATAGATTATGTTATGCATACTAAACAAATTTAGTAGTCTAGCTTAGTGGTTAGGGTGCTCATTTTTTGTGTGTCTTGTGTCCCATATTCAAACCCCAGGTTATTGATTTAATTTATTTTTATTCATTCCATTGGAAACGCATGACACCATTTGATTGGATAGAAAATTTATTAAATAAAAAGTATTAAAAAAAAATCCTATCACACAGTGACACATGTCACTATTGGATCGAGGATTAAATTTATTGAATTAAATAAAAGTTAGGGCCAAATTAATAGAATGTGTAAGTAATGAGGACTAAATGTGTAATTATATAAATTTTATTAACTGTCACGTCATCTCCTCCGTTAATATTTAACGGCAGGTTGCTTGATTGACAAGATTTAAATAGTTGGGTGACCCGATTGACAAAATGAATAAATAGTTAATTGGTCAATGATATAGTTTACTCTAAAAATTAATGTTTAATTAAATTACATCTAGATTTTTAACTAATTTATAATTATACGTTTAGTACTTTGTAATTTAACGTTTTATAAATTAATTTAATGGTGTTAATCTGTGCTCGTCGAACGTGGCAACATCATCTTTATAAATATCATCAAATTTTAAATGGTGTATGCATGTTTAAGTTATAGTTCAACTTATTTATTTAAAGCAATTAATATACAAAATATTATAAAATTATCAAGGCGAGTACTCTAGTAGTATCAAGGAACAGAAAAATTGACGACCAAAATAAGATACCTGTAAGAAAAACCATTCAAAACAAGTAAATTGAGGTGTCACCAAGAGTGACATTAAACAAAGAGTGCACCAAATCTGAGAATGTAACCCATAAAGTTAATAGTAGGGCAAAGTACACAAATAGTCCAATTGAGTTTTTTGATTATTAAAAATTATAAAATTGTCTCTCAAATATAAAGAGTTACTTTGTTGAGTCGTTTGACCATTAAAAGTTACAAAATGGTCACCCGACTATTTATTATGTTCCAAACTCGTCATTTTTTATTAACGAATTAACTACAGTCTGAGCAAGACGTTAACATACTGACTGAAATATAATAAAATATGATATTATAATCTCAAATGATTATCATATCTCAGTTAGCATGTTAACGTCTAGCTCAGAAAACCGTTAATTTTTTAATGGAAAATGACGAGTTTAGAACATAATGAATAGTCAAGTGACCAATTTGTAACTTTAATAGTCGAGGGACTCAACAAAACAACTCCCTATAATCGGGAGACCATTTGTGTACTTTACCCAAAATTATATTATAAAGATTTATATATTAATAACATGTTTATATTATAAATGATATATTTATAATATTATATCATAAATATTATAAAATTAGATCATTAAATAAAAATATTGATACATATATATATATTAGTTTTGTTAGAAGCATAACAAATTCTTAAGTTGATTGATGTATTTAGTTTTCCTTCCGAAAGATCTTGGTTTGATCCTATTCTCTCTGTATATTCTCAAATTTATTCAACAAACAAAGTTGTTTTGGGCACTAAATGCGACGTTCACATCGATAACCGCCGATATATTATTGTATCGTTATGGAGTTAATGATTTAGTGTTATAATTGAAATGAAAAAAATGTAATGTTATAATTGAAGAAATGACAAATTTAACAATATAAATGATATATTATCTAAAGTTCAATGATATTAAATGTAATTGACCCAATCAATAATCAGGTTTGACTTTAACAGTTTGTGAATGCCGGCTCATACGACCCACAAAACAATTAAAGACTAAACTAATATTAAATAGGGTAAAATACACAAATAATCCTTAACTATACGATATTATTTTTTTGAGTTCTCTGACTATTGAAAGTTATAAAATGGTCCTTCGATTCTAGGGTGTTACTTTGTTGAGTCTCATAACTATTAAAAGTTACAAAATAATCACTCGAATATTCATATGTTTTAAGCTCGTCCTTTTACGTAAAAAAAATTAACGGTTGTCTGAGCTAGATATTAACATGTTGACTGAGAATTGGGATATAATAAAATCGCATCCCAAAACCGTTTCAACTGTATAATCGTTTGATATTTTGAGATCAAATTTTATTAGCAGGTTAACGTCATGCTCAGACTATCGTCAATTTTTTAATTGTTAAAGATGAGTTTGAGACATATGAATAGTCGGATGATCATTTTGTAATTTTTAATAGTCGGTGGACAACACTCTATAGTCGGACGACCATTTTATAACTTTCAATAGTCATATGACTCAACAAAACAATATCCTCTAATCATTGAACCATTTGTATTCTTTACCCTATTAAATATTAAGATATATTAAGAACTGAAAGCAACAACCACTTATAATTCTCAACGATTACAACATATCAAAGTAAAATTTTTAAAAAAAAAAGAAGTAATAGTGATTTGAACATAGTAAAATATCTCATGTGTTTATACATGAATTGTGCACTTGAGTCTTGACAAATGGTAAACGACAATCCAAAACTTAACAAATTATTCTTACATGGCCATATTCAAAACGTATATTGTCTTAGAAGCGTTAAGATACATCCAATTGGAAAAAAAGAAGAAGGATGTTAATAGCGTAATAAATGACAATATTTAGGGATGTTCATTCGGTTAAAACCGAATCGAATCGAACCGAATTAATCATAATCGAATTAATTAAAAAAAATTTCTTTAACCGTTAATTGAATCAAACTTTTTTTTCAAAAATATTAACCGAATCGAATAAATTTCGGTTAATTCAGTTAATTTTCGAATTAATCGATTTTTTTTAATTTTTTTAATTTATATAAAAATTAAATGTTTTTAATTCAAAAAAAAGTTTATAATTAATTTAAATAATATATAATTATAAAATAAAAATTTCAGATAAATTTTTCAATTAATTAATATTGATTTAGGTT